TTACATGGGTATGCTCGACTATCGACGCCGGAGTCGAACTTATAAAACTATTTTTTGTGCATGGGAGAATTCGGGTGATGCTTTAGGTGTGTTTTGTGACCAGGTTCCAAGGCCTTCGACTGAGTTCACCATTAGACATTAATCAGGAAGCTACAGTACTATGGTGTCAAGAACACAGTGCTTAACCTTATTATTTCATATTTAAGTAATAGAATGCAGAAAGTTATTATCAATGGTAAAAGTTCTTCCGGGTTGTCCGTAAAGATGTCCCTCAGGGCTCGATTCTTGGCCCATTCCTATTTTTAATGTATATTAATGACTTACCTTCCCTTCTAGGGTATAATCATGATATAGTATTATTTGCTGATGATATTTCCTTGATTTTTAAACTTAAACGTCAATCATTTAAATGTGACGAAGTGAATAATGCTATATTGAAATTAGTGCATTGGTTTAACGTTAATAATCTGCATTTAAATGGCAATAAAACTAAATGTATTAAATTTACAATAACGGATGTTAAAAGTCTGACTACCAATGCGTTATTAAATGGGGAAAAACAGAGCCCTGTTGAATCTTCTGTTTTTCTTGGCATCACTCTCGACGCAAAGCTTCAGCGGGGCCCCCATATATCCAAACTACAAGCAGACTAAGCTCTTCAGCTTATGCTGTAAAAAAGATTAGAGATCTCACTAGTGTCGAGGCAGCTAGATTAATTTATTTCAGTTATTTCCATAGCATAATGTCTTATGAGATTTTGTTATGGGGAAATGCAGGATCAGCCGATTTAGAAACTATTTTGTTTTGCAGAAGAGGTCCATAAGAGCTATTTACAACCTTAAACCGAGAGAGTCGCTTAGAGAAAAATTTAGAGAAATAAATATATTAACTTTGGCCTCTCAGTATATTTACGAAAATTTAATGTACGTTCCAATAACAAATATAGTTTTAGTAAAAAAAGTGATATACACTCTGTAAACACTAAGAACAAACACAAGCTAGTAGACCTGTCTCTCGACTTCACAGAGTCAGTAATTCATTCTTGGGGCAATGTATCTGGGGGCCTTTTCTCGAAGTAGTTCAGGCCATTTTTTTGTTTTCATTCAATTTGAACCAGTAGTTTAAGAATTATAACTAGTCAAAGTTTCTTAATTTTGTCACTCACTGACTGACCAATCATCAAAACTCTAAGGTACTTCTAGCAGACGTAGAAGGTTCAAATTTTGTAATTTCGGAGTAGTTTTCTAGATACATTAACTGCATAAATAACTTTGTAATCCCATATAAATATATAGGATTACAAAGTTACATTTGCAGTGAAGGAATCAGTGAACCTTTATTACATATATGAATAATACAATGGAATAATAGATGTAGATAGGTACCTAGATATATGTAAATTGACTTGGCAATCGCACTAAACAATCTAAATTAATATAATATGTATTACTTGTGAGATACATTGTGTTTTCATGCGATAGCCAAGTCAATCTATTTATTTAAAACATAAAAGATTTTTAATATTGATACGGTCACTATAAGATGTTGTTAGGTTAGTTAATTACGCAGAAGGGCCCTTAAGTGGAGACTGAATAAATTAATCGATTTGGTATTACATGGATCTCACAACTTTTTACGGTAGAAGAACTGAGTTGCGAGACTTAGTTTTTTTTACAAGTTATGTTTTTGATGGCATACGCTATTACAACAAAGTCCCAGAAAATATACAAGGTATCTCTATTACTAAGTTTAAATACTTATTTAATTAAACAAACGCTGTATAAAAAGGGTTATTATAATATAAATTAATACATCATCATCATCATTACAGCCTTTCATAAGTCCACTGCTGAACATAGGCCTCCCCCAAGGAATGCCACAAAGCACGGTCCTGAGCCACCTGCATCCATCGACTTCCTGCATGTCTTAGCAGGTCGGCACTCCATCTCGTGGGGGGTCGCCCTACACTTCGCCTATCGGTACGAATAACGGTAAGAAATACGTTTTGAGGTATGTCTGAAGAGAAGATGTGTTGTAGTTTCCCGAACGCTGCCCAGCCGAGTTGAATCCGTCGATTGACCTCTCGGTCGAAGTTGGACTTACCTAGTCGGACTATTTGTCCCAGGTAAACATACTCGTCAACAACTTCGAGCTTAGTGCTCCCAACAACTACCGGCATAGGTGTGACATGGACATTAAACATGATCTTTGTTTTGTCCATGTTCATCCTAAGACCTATTCGTTGGGAGACACTATTGAGGTCATTGAGCAAGGTGCTCAGATCCTCCAGCGATGCTGCCATAAGGATTATATCGTCGGCAAATCGAAGATGAGTGATGTACTCGCCATTGATATTAATACCGTATCCTTTTCAATCCAGAAGCTTGAAAACGTCTTCCAATGCAGCGGTGAAGAGTTTCGGGGATATAACGTCACCCTGTCTTACACCTCTCTGCAATTGGATAGGTTTCGTACTCTGGTTTTGTACTCGGATAGCCATCGTAGCTCTACTGTACAAACACTTCAGCACTTCGATATACCGACAGTCAACTTGGCACCGCTGAAGGGACTGCAGCACTGCCCCTATTTCTACGGAATCAAAGGCTTTCTCATAGTCCACATACGCCAGGCATAGTGGCAAATTGTACTCCTCGGACTTCTGTACAACTTGCCGAAGTGTATGTATGTGGTCTATGGTGCTAAAGCCCTTTCGGAAACCGGCTTATTCGGGAGGCTGGAAGTCGTCAAGTCTGCGCGCGAGACGATTCGTAATGACTCTCGAAAACAGCACGTAGACGCGGCTCATAAGGGAAATCGGTCTGTAGTTCTTCAACGGAGCGTTGTCACCTTTCTTGAAGAACAAGACCACCACACTTCTGCTCCACGCCTCCAGTGTAATGCTACCATCGAGGACGGAATTAAAGAGCTTCTGAAGGACTTCAAGTACCTGTCTTCCACCCGCTTTTAGAAGCTCCGCTGTAATTCCATCCTCGCCTGGGCCCTTGCCGTTTTTAAGGTGCTGGAGAGCCATTCTAATCTCGCTCAGAGTGATGTCCGGGATATCTTCGGAATAGTGTCGAATAAGACTCGCTCTTGGATCGTTACTCACACTTGCGTGTGGCTCCAACGATGACGTGTACAGCTGCCCATAGTACCTCTCAATCTCACTCAAAATCTCAGGTGCCCCGGAAACGATGCTGCCACACTCGGTCTTCAGCTTCGACAGTTGGCTCTTTCTGGCAGACAGGCAAAGACTTTGGAGCCTTGGTTCCGCTCGATCGCTTCTTCAATACAAGCTGTATTGAAGTTGCGTAAGTCCCGCCGCATGTATTTGGAGATCTGTCTGTTCAGTCGCCTGTATGCTGACAAATCTGTTGAAGAATGTAGCTTCATCTCCCGTCTAACAGCCATGAGATTGAGAGTGTGATCGGAGAGTTTTTGTGTTCTTCTGCGGCGGGTCTTGCAGAACTTAGCTCCGACCGCATGGACAGTTTCCACGAGCTTGTCATTCTTGTCGTCCACTTCATTGCAGTCTACTAGGCACTGAAGACGGTTTTGTAACTCGAGCTGAAAGGTTTCGGGACTTTGGAACAGAGCACGAGGGGGACGGAGCGTTGACTTCATTAGACGAGACCTCTCCAACTTAACGTTTAGGTTCAGTGTGCCTCTAACCATTCGGTGATCGCACCAGTTTTCAACCCTCGCTCGCGATCACGGAGACATCACTGAACAGTTGTCGTCTGGTCGTCATAATGAAGTCAATCTCATTTTTTGTGGAACCGTCGGGGCTCGACCAGGTCCACTTCCTGTGGGGCCACTTCTGGAAGAAAGAGTTCATCATAAAGAGTCCCTCTTTCTCCATGAAGTCGGCTAGCTGCTGGCACCTTGGGTTCCGTTGCCCTATTCCAAATTTCCCTACTTTCAGCTCACCGTTCTGTCTTGTGCCTAGTTTTGCTTTGAAGTCTCCCATTAATACCGTATATTGGGTTTTGGAGGAATGCATGGCTCTAGAGATATCCTCATACATTTCCTCCACCTCCTCATTGGGGTGTGTCGAGGTTGGTGCGTAAACATGTATGACCTTCAGCGAATACCGTTTGCTAATTCTGAGTATAAGGTATGCAACCCTCGTCTTTACACACTCTCAATCTTTACAACGTTGTTAACGAGAGACTTGTGGACGGTAAATCCGACACCTCCTTGGGACAGATGGTCGCCCTCCTGGTGATAGAGCAAGTTGCCGGATTCGAGGATTACCGTGTCCTCCCCCTCTCTTCGGACTTCGGGTAAACCTATAATATGCCAGCGTAACTTGTCTATCTCTTCTTCCAGCTCCACGATCTTCTCGTCAGTCCTCAGGGTGCGTGCGTTGTATGTTGCCAGGTCGAGTCGTCTTAGGTGGCAACCGAACCTCCACCGGAGATTCTTAGCACCCCCTGCCCCGCCGTTACCATGGTCGTCACCGTAGCCAGGAATAGCGGGGCCGCCGGGGACCGTTTCTCTGTTATTGTTATCATAGAGGGGGTATTTGCTATAGTTGCCACGCTTGGCGAGCGGGTTGGCAACCGCAGTTTTTTTATTGTAAGTTTGTTGTTATCAGGAAGATGCTGCTGCCCATCTCCTGCCTGTTTCCCTTTGTCGCCTTTTACGCCACCCACGGGAAGATATGGGGTAGTGGATATTCTTAACCGCCACTACACGACCAATTAATACATGGTTGATAATAACTCTGGGAATGAAGTGGTCGCTTCCAAGTTGTATCTAAAGTAAATTTTGTAAATAGTTTGTAATCATTTATATTATAAAATTTATTTTAAAAAAAGTCCCGCAGGGTTTCTTGCGGGTTCTTCCTAGGGCAGAGGATTTTTGTCGAACAAGTGGTAAAATAAAATAAAAAATGACTTTTAATAAGAATTACTTGTAATCAATATTGAATAAAAAATTATTGTATTTTATTCTATTCTATTCATGATTAACTAATAAGAGTTGAATTGCATCAGGCGCGATGATCGCGATCTGCGACGTGAAAGAGTACCGGTCGGCGGTGTGCGGGCGCGGCGGACGCGCGGTGCCGGCGCCGGCGCACGCGCTGTTCGACACGCTGCACGCGCTCTGCAACCTGCTGCTGGTCAAGCCCGAGAACCTGCACCAGGTCTGCGAGGGCGAGACCCTGGTACGTACAACACAAACAATTAACTCTTTTTTATACAATACGGATGACAAACAATTACACAGTCCACCGACAGTAAATGGATGCTGTGGCCCATAGACATAGACATTTGTTTTCAATTACGAATCAAAATGCAGATACATTGTTAACCGTGAGGACTAAGATGGAATGCCTCGTTTCCAGTAAAAAAGGATCTCCGATTATCTACACTCACCATACGAGATACAGCAGCGTTTAGCTGCTATTGTACGCTGTTATTCTGTGAGAGTGTGGTCCTTCCCCGATCTAGCCGACCCATTCGCGCCAGAACTATACTACTAACTAATAGCGGCAGCGTGGCTCTACCACGTATAGCTTACTTTATCATTGAGTTGAGTAAACTAAATGTGCAGCTTTTTCTATACGATTTAACCCTTCTACAAATCATGTGGCTGCGTCACAGTCTAAGAGCTAAGAAGAACATACAGTCAGTCATCGTGTTTGAAATCGTCAGAAAAGCCGACATCGCTTAGACTCGTCGTGCCGAATAAAATTGCTAGGGTTGTCACATTGGAAAGTGATAAAATAATTTGATTTTTTTTTATTTCACGTTTAAACAAATTAAATCAGTAAATTGGTGTTCAGAAATAAAAAAATAGGTTAAAATAAGAAGTTACAAAAAAAAATAATTAGAAAAAATAATTAACTGTTGAATATATCCTTATTACTATTTTTTTTATTTGAACGCATGCAGACAAAGATGCAATACATACAACACTATTACAACGTTTTTATTATGTCATTCTGATTATCGTCGAAGTCAGTTAATTTTGCCAATTTGGCAAAGAATATTTTACAGTGTATGACTTTAATATCGACTATATTTTGACGGTTGTTAGTTTTTTCTGCTATCGTATTATTTTTAAGTGGTATCAAATATTTATTAGTTTTTAACCTAACTCATCTACCCTATTGGGATTACATCAAAACATATTTATAAATGTGATTTTTCTACCGTCTTCAAAAAGGAGGAGGTACTCAATTCGGCTGTATGTTTTTTATGCGTGTTACCTCTTAACTTTTTTCGGGTGAACCGATTTCGATGATTCTTTTTTTATTTGAAAGCTAGTGCTTCTCATGTGGTTCCATATATTTTATTTTGTTGCAATTTGATCAAAGTCTGACCAATAGTTTTTGAGTTATTCTTAATAACTTATATTGAAGTCGGTTCTACAAAATCTTTAACTTTAAATTATTAAACTCCTAGATTTTAAATGTTTGTTAAACGTGTGTTTTTATCGCACACGTAATGTGAATCATTAAATTTATTAACAACGTTACAAGACAGTCCTGCCTGACCAGTTACAAGACAGTCCTGCTGGACAGCTTGCGAACAGCTATTAAGTGGATGTGCGTCCGTTCGGGAGCACGCCGCACGATTGCACCGTCTACACTTCTAGCCTTCGATGACTGACCGTAGTAGTTAGACTGTGGCTATGTGGTAGGTAGCATTAGAGAATCTCAGGTCGCACAGTTGTTTTTAGTTTTCTACAAATGGTAAAATTAAAAATTTTGTACAACCGACTTCAATATAAATGAAACTAGAATGTTATCAATGTAGTTGAAGTCAACTACTGGACTAGCGTTGTATTCTACAGTTATTTTGCTCCAGGCCTCAATTTTAATGCCATCGGCCTCCTTATTTTCCACCATAGCCCTATATTTTTATATAATTCCTGAGGGTCAAAAGAAATAACGATAACGGCGTAATTACGAAAATAATATTAAAATTGACATTAAAAACATTGTCGGCGGACAGCCCTGGTACATTTAAATTTTGTATGGACCGAGAAAACAGATTGAAAGTTTTATAAACTATAATATTGCGTAAATTGAAGATTTGGGAATTCCATTTGCAACTAACTTTTTTTGATATCTTCATTTAATGCAACAAATAAAATTCTATAAAAAAACTTAAAATACTAGAATTTAGGGGTAAACAGGTGGATGCGATTTTTTTTTTCAAAGGTTACATTTTTTTTGAGCCCCACCCATATACGTCTCAGTCTCTCAGTATTGGACACAGGACTCTTTTCGGACAAAGTTTTGAAGCAGATTTCGACGATCTGCTCCAATTTGGGTTGGCGGACTTCACATGTACCTTAAATATATATAGTGTCCTTCAAAAGTCTCATTGCCAAGGCAAAGTCGGAGCATATCGGAAGAATTGGCGAGAAACTAGTTCGACTTCCTTCAGGAACACGTGCATTCTGGTCTTGCCAGGGCTGTCCAACGAAACTTCTATCAGCCATCATTGCCTTCATTTTTATTATAGAATAAGGGTGACAAACGAGCACACAGTTCACCTGATGGTAAGTGGATGCTGTGGCCCATAGCTCATAGATATCTACATTTATCCTCGCTTAAGAATCAAAATGCAGATGTATTGCCACCCCTGAGAACTAAGATGCAATGCCTTGTTTCCAGTAAAAAGGGTCTCCAGTAATCTACACTCACCATACGAAACAAAGCAGCACTAAGCTGCTCTGCACAGGGAGGACGACTCACTGGCCCATGCCACAAAAGAGAAAGCCGGTCTGCTGAGAGCCTTCTCTCTTTGCGTCCAACTCGACTCTCGATGACGGGGGGAACACACCGCCGACTATCCCGTGGTGTGAGTGATCCATGCAGGATGTGCTGTTTACACAGCGCTCGGTGCGCAGAGCAGTCCTTTCCCAGGAAATCAACAAGTCGAGTGGTCTTGATGGAGTTCCACCTATTGTGCTGAAGACGTGTGCTCCAAAGTTGGCACCGGTTTTAACGCGTCTTTTCCGGTACTTCTACTCCCTAGGTGTAGTCCCGAACTCATGGAAGACAGCTTTGGTGCACCCGATCCCTATAAAAAGCGACCGCTCAGATCCGTCCAACTAAAGGCCTTTCGTTATCACCTCCTTGTTCTCTAAAATAATGGAAAAAATTATTAACTGTCAGCTCATGGGGTACCTTGAGGTTCACCAGCTGATTAGTGATCGACGATCTTCAGGCTTAATTAACTCGTAGATGGGCGGAGGCAGTGAGGTACAAGGGGGAGGCATTAACTGTTAGTTTGGATATAGCGAAGGTCTTCGATCGGGTTTAGTACAAAGCTCTTATTTCGAAACTTCTTTCGAAATTTGCCAGCGTCTATCTTTCCGTCCGAATACAATCTGGGCGTCTTGAAGGCAACAGTGAATAGGCTTTTGTTACGCTAGGACAGTGCGATTTACCATCTAAGGCTGCATCACCACTTAGCACCAGGTGGGATTGTGGTCAAGCACTGGCTTATAATATGTAAAAAAACATCGTTGCGACCTCTCGTGGCCTGATATCACACTAGACTAAGCAATAATTACAACAACTACTAAGCGTAATGGATTACGATTTTGACCAATTTGTCCCGTCTATTGCTCGTTAATATTTAAATTTCTTTGTTTGGATGAAAAACTTTCGAGTGGTCGCCGCGATTCGTCGAAGTCGTTAGAGCATAGCAAACAAATAATTAATTTCAAATTTATCTAATACAATAAAAATATTGACTTTGTTTGTACGCCTTAGCTTATCTTTAATATTCATAGAATATCAATAGTAAATTGGATGACGTAGATATGTTTACCATAGTAGGAGAATCATTGAATCAGCTATGTTAGGGTTCCAGTTTACTAAGAAAGCGCAGTACGCAGATGGGGGTTCAGTTCATCCCTGTCAAGGTCTTTTTTCCTTTTCTACCGACTTCAAAAAGGAGCCGGTACTCAATTCGGCTGTATGTTTTTTTTATGTGTTACCTCATAACTTTTTACTGGGTGAACTGATTTCGATGATTCTTTTTTTATTTGAAAGCTGGTGCTTCACATGTGGTCCCATATAAATTTGATTAAGGTCTGACCAATAGTTTTTAGGTTATTCTTAATAATTTATATTGAAATCGGTTGTACAAAATGTTTAATTATATATTATTTCCACTCCGACTTATTGTATAAAAGTGACAACGGAAATTTAGAGTATGGGCCAGTATAATTGGCTTTGACGTGTTTCATCTTAATCCTAAAAGAGTGCAAAGACTTCGGTGACCTACAGTAGCCTTACGATCTAGTGGACTGTGAGTTCATTTGTCGCAGTGTTAAAAAAAACATTAGCGTGAGACGATTTAGTGCCTTTGGTACATTCAGAGGTTAATCCACGGTATGGTAGAGCCACGCTGCAGCTATATTTTGGTTCTAACATGAATGGGTCGGCTCGATCGGTACCACGCTCTCACAAAATACCAGCGTAAAATAACAGCTTAATGTTGCTGTGTTTCGTATGGTGAGTGTAGAGAACGGGAGACCTTTTTTACTGGAAATCAGGCATTCCATTTCTTAGTCAGGGTTAACAACGCAAACGATGATAGATGTAGATGTCTATGGGCCAAGGCAACCAGTTAACATCAGGTGGACTTGGACTGTGTGCTCGCTTGTCATCCTTATCCTATAAAAAATATTTTAAAAAATGTTAATAATGGATTTCCGCCAAGTAACGCCTGATTATACTAATTATTTAATTATCTCTCATAGATGACTTTGTTGTTAGTATAGTTGTCGCCATGAAGTCGGTGAAATAAACGGTATTTCATTAATTCGCCATATCGTATTAGTGAGAATGTTTGATATCTATCTGGTGCGTCTTCTGGTGTTTCTTCTTAATTTTAAGACGCTGTTTCTCATTTAGCTGATGAAATGACTACATCCTTTCAGATGTTATAAAATTTCGACAGCATTTTCTAAAGTCAAGTTCTCGACACACCTTCGGATATTTAAATTTTTACTAATGATTTTTCTTTTGTTTCGCAGGCAGAATTGGATCAGTCCATTCTACACAACTTTATACAATTGCGTTCCGACTACAAGAGTCATAAATTATCCAGCTTCCTCAAAGGACTGTCGTAATTTATCATTGACATTAAATGGTTATTTATCTTTACAACAGAAAATATTATTGCTTTATATGTAAATAAGATTAAATTATAATAAAACTTAAAAGATATGTTTGTTTTATTTTTATTTTATAAGAAATCTTAGAAAATGGTGAATTGTTTTCAAGTAAATTGGATATTGTATTGTAAAATAAACTTTTCATCGTACCTTTTATTGTCTGTAATATATAATGTACTCTGTGCCTTTTATAGCACACTGAAATATTTCTTTACAAATAGTTTTCAACTACACAATGTTTTCATAAAATATACATCAAAATGACAGATTTAAAACGACGGAATCTTTCGAAATCTGATTGAATTACGCTTGTTCGGTGACATTTAGTCCATTGCGGTTCCATAACAAAATCGGCGTAAGCGTTTTGTGCTTCAAGCAATCTTTCAATTTCAATATCAAAATATTATATTAAACGCTCGCGTTGCCTTATCAGTGGTATCTATACGACATATCTTCACTACGTCCATTCATAAGTCCTCCCCACCAACGTAGTTATTTGAATGAACGTAGCTGTGTGCGTGCGACGCGAGCGCACCTACGATTGTGATCAACTTCAGTCAGTGCCGTTCGAGCCGGCCGGCAGTGTGTATCGCTTCCGACCGCGCCGCGTTTCAACCGTTTCCAAAACAGTGTTATGCCAAAAAGTTTAGTGTGACCCACTCACATATTTTTATTTTTGTGCTGTGCCCATATCGCTAATCTGGATAATATCATAAAACTCGAGAGGTAAGCTCACTGCTGAAATGTTTATTTTCATTGAAGTTCCGACGCCTACGCGCAGTGCTGTGTCGCGATTTGTAAGCGACGAATTTACATGTTATAAGTTCATTCATTGAACGTTACAGCCTATTTATATTATTATCAACGATGTGTGATGTATATGGGCGATTAAAGTTTCATAATGAATCGTTCGAGACGAAGGTTGATTCATTATTGACGGTGTAGTCCGTAATCGCGATCGACGTTCATATAAGATTGCTGGAAGTTCTTTTAGTCGGTCGTTCGGTGCGTTATCTAGGTGAGCCCGGCTGCGTCCGTTCCATTTCGAGTGGTGTTTTTATCCCGGCGCTACCTGAGCGATGAGTGCCGGCGAAGCGCGATCGTTTCACCACCGCACCGACTCGATCCTGCTAATGATCTCTCGTAAATAGAAAACAGACCACACCTCCGAATAGCAATTTCATAAATTCTATTTAGACACCGTTCTGATTTCGCACCACACCCAATAACATTTTGCTATTATTAATTGCATCGCGGGCCTTTAAGGGGGAAATATCGATAAGACAAAGCAATAAATCGAAAACTTTACGATCGTGTTTACCCTTTATCGTGAAAACAAGCCTAGACTGTTTCAACCCGTGCATGAACTGTAACAATTGTTGGTATTGCTTAAATTGAACAAAGCGTGCAAACTAAAAAATGATGTAACTAAAAAGTTATCTTGTTGATAGAGGCACTTCGCGTAACGTATCTTGAACCAATCAAGATTAGAAGTGGACAACCGAAATGAGTCGGTATTGTGACCGTTAATAAAAATCCACATGATGTCAACACATGCACAAGTAATTATGTGTAACGATTATTGCAAAAAGGACGAGGATAAGTCATAATTCTCAGAATTAAATATCTAAAAGATAAAAATATAGTTTAGGTCGTTTTATAATAGCTCACAAAAACAACTGTATTGTGTACCATGATTATCATTACAGTATTGTGTACAAGACCACTTGGGGAAGGCATAAATTCACCAAGTAGAGTCGTGGTAGCTCAGGGGTTAAGTGCTCGCCATAAAACTAACAACCCGGGTTCGTTTCTCGCCAGCACCAATGAAATTTTTAATTGCAATTTGAGGTGCAGATTTGAGAAAATATGCGTGTGTGAGAGATTAAATAAAAAGTTTCGAAGACATGATGTGAAGTCACCAACACTGATTGGGGCAGCGCGGCTGACACTTCCTTGCCCTTAATCCCTCTAAGAAATGACAGAAGTTCTGTGGACAACATACAAAGGCTGTAACTTTGCTTTTAAAGCACAGTTCTGAGCCACAGAAATCCATCGATTCTAGGACATGCTTCATCAGATCACCTTGCAAAACAACACACTATAACATTTAACTAAGTTTTATATTTAAGGACAAAATCCTCAGGGACAAAGTATCTGCATTTTGGTTCTTAATCGGCTATGAATATTATAGATTAAATGGACATTTAGTCTGGGCCATCAACTTACGACCAGGTACACTGAGTATTTTTACACATAGCTTTACACGAAAAAAATTCACGCGGATTATATTCCTTATCATTATCGATATCTTTTCCTAGCCGATTTGTTACAACAGGAAGCCTTCCGAGTACTCGGAAGCTATCAAATACTTAAGAGAAATCATAATGCTTTAACTATACGCGACTGCAAAGAGGCACTCGTTTTATTCGTCCAGACTTACCCGTCACCAATGTCTTATATGCGATAAGACCATGCGGTGGGCTAATGAGCAGTGTCAACACGGGTACAATCAATTGAACTAGCCCCGAAAACCAACAATTTGCACATGTTCTCAAATGTTCGTTCCAGCTGGGATTCGGAACTACGAAGACCTTTTAAGAAGTCCCACAACAGATGCAAATTAACCTTAAAACTACGAAAAGTGTATTTTATATGAGTCGAAAAATTCCTCCATTTCTATCAATTTATTCCGTCCGTTGCGTCCTATCCATCTATTCTATTGCGTCCATCCATTTTTATCTTTCAAATGATCAACTAATTTAAAGTATCCTTTCTACAATAAAATTTTTACATGCGCCTTGAAATGGTTCAAATGGAATCTTGTTATTGATAGTAGTTAGTAGTTACGTCAGTTTTATAAATTACTTTTTTTATAGAATAAGGTTGTCAAGCGAGCACACAGTCCACCTGATGGTAAGTGGTTGCTGTGGCCCATAGACATCTACATCTATCTTCGTTTGCGAATTAAAATGCAGATGCGTTGTCACCCGTGAGGACTAAGATAGAATGCCTTTTTTCCAGTAAAAAGGGTATCCGGTTCTCTACAATCACCATACGAAACACAGCAGCATTAAGCTGCTATTTTACGCTGGTATTCTGTGAGAGCGTAGTCCTTCCCCGGTCGAACCGGCCCATTCGTTTTACAACTATAATATTAATATAGCTGCAGCATGGCTCTACCACGTATAAAAATTCGGTACAGCAAGTTTACTTTATTATGGTATTAAAATAATAAAATTAATTCTTACATACAATATTCAATCCTAAAAGCCGTAGTAGCCAGGTACTCTTTTCGCTAAGCTTCTTTAATTGTCGGATATTAGTTATCTTCTATAACTATAGAGCTGTGTTAGCTTAATGGTAGTAGAACTAGAACGCAGTACTAGAGTACCTAACCGATATAGACCAACGGATTAATAAGCTGACGTTGACTTGTGCCGGCCTTGGAATGGCTACCGATGAGAAAGAAGAGTTCTCGAGTGGTAACCTCGTGCCGGTAAGAAAATCAGGGTGGTCCCCACGAGATGGAGTGACAACCTAGCCAGAAATGCAGAAAGTCTGTGGATACAGGTAAAAATGAAAGATAAAGATGTTACTAACATATAGGGAACACAAACATATACAATATAATTTAAATTGACTTGTTTTGTTTGTGTTCCCTATAACATAAGTACGTTGTTATTGACTGAGTTCCATTATCTGACGTTATCTAACACCATACCACTGTTTCAATATCACAATCATATTAATTTAGAGGTGCGAAAGGTACTTTTAACAACTGTTTGGGATTTCCACTTTTAGAAATAACAATTAGTAGTTTGCGTTCCGCAAGGCGGCGTGTTATCTCCTGTCTTATTCACAATCTTTATAAACACCAATACATCCCAAATAGGTATTTTATCTCTACACCTTGTAAGTATGATATCCAAATATATTTACCAACCGCAATTGAGGATCTTCCTAAAGGGTTGATTATAGGACACATGGATCGGGCATAAATTTTAAACTTAAGCCGATCATATTTAGGTTATCCTGGTGGTCTGTGATTTTAAAGGGCCTTAATGCCGTCCATACTATTCTTTACAATGAAACTGGCAAAAATTTAGGTGTACTTTTATTTTCCAGCTTTTCTTGGACTATATGAAACTGCAAAATATTGGCAGCTTAAATTTTATTCCAAAGGTTTAACTACTTTTTACCCATTTGCACTAAAATTCAATCGGGATCTATATCGGACTAAACCAACGATTCGAGCACTATTTTTTCGTCAAAAGGATACATAGCTAAAATAAAACTAATAATATCATTAAGGTGTGATAGGTTGTTAATATAATTTATAGTTTAATTTAATTATGAAAGAAAGAAAAGCAGATGCTGATTGAAGCTTAAATACTGATGTTTGATAGAAAAAAGCAATGATTACGAGAGGACAAGTACAGGCTCATATTTAACATCGATGCCGATTTATCGTATTATCTATATTATCCTTGACTTTTTTGATTAAAAATCATGAAATATCGAGACCAACAAGTAGTAACAATAGCTTCTAGAAACTTACATCATAATTATCATTACAGCCCTTCACAAGTCCACTGCTGAACATAGACCTCCCCCAAGGAATAGGTACCACAAAGCACGGTCCCGAGCCACCTGCATCCATCGACTTCCTGCATGTCTTATCAGGTAGTCACTCCATCTAGTGGGGGACGTCCTACACTTCGCCTACCGGTACGAGGCTGCCACTCGAGAACCTTTCTTCCCCATCAGTTGTCGGTTCTTCGAGCTATATGGCTGGCCCATTGCCACTTCACCTTACTAATCCTTTGGGCTATGTCGGTTACTCTGGTTTTACTGCGGATATCCACGTTTTTAAGTCTATCACGCAGAGAAACGCCGAGCATAGCCCTCTCCATTGCTCGCTGAGCGACTTTGAGTTTCCTCATACGGCCAGCAGTGAAGGACCACGTCTCAGATCCATAGGTCATCACTGGCAACACGCATTGGTTGTAAAAACTTTCTAGAAACGTAAAATTATGAACTTTAAAAATCATAATATTTAAAGCATAGATTACTATAATTTTATTGTGTTTTATAATATTCTATTGCGCCTCTGCTGAGTCGTTAGCAATTATTTAATGTGATTACGATACTGAGATATATGGTCGTATTTTCGAAGACCGAAAACAAATCTATTACTGCAATTACTGCTAAACTGACTAAATTATAGAATATAAAATCCGAACATATTTGTTAATAATAATAACGTACTTAATAAATGTATTTTCAAATGTTGGAATTTTACAAGAACGTTTTCGTTGTGTTATTATGGTAACATTTTTATAATTATTACTGAACAGTGAAGTGGGAAAAAGTAGTTCAACTCATTTTTTTACCTGCCAATATGGACTAAGTTATGTCCACATACATTTTTGTTTGTTATTAATTTGACGTTTGTCCATTAACACATGCCTTAGTCGGAATTGCTGTGGTATTTGTAACTTACGCATATTGAAAGAGAAAAAACGTTAACAAGTATGAGTAGCGCTCATTTTAAACTATTTATTATAACTTTCTAAATGTTGCAATATTGTATATTGCTTTATTCAGCTTTGTAGTTTTAAGTTTAGCGTTTTTGTGAACATATTAAATTTATAGTCGCATAATGTTCACAAGTGACGATCGTTTTCAGCTAATAGATACTTTAGGCTCTGTAATTAATGCTC